TTGTTGTTGTTAATGTTATTATTGTTGTTTTTGTTGTTGCCATTGTTGTTTTATTGTTAAATATGACACAGAGGAAACACATAATACCTTACGTTATCTCGCGGGTGCAAGATAATAGAACAAAATAAAACAAAAAAAAAAGAGAAAAAATCAATTTCTTTTATTTTAGATTCCGCAATAACCTTTCAGCATCCGTAATCCTGTAATCATTCTTTATCATAATAATAACTATTTTTTATATTTTTTTATTCATTTATTTATCTATTTATTTTTCTTTATTTATTAATTTATTTTGTATTATTATATATACTCAAGAAACAGATTTTAACATTCTTGCACTGAGTGAGGAAGAAAGTAAATTAATTATTATAGTGCAATAACAAAATTAGAAGACGAAAAGAAAACAAATAAATAAAAACCTATCTAAACACATACAAAACTTTAATATTAACCAATGAAAATTTCACCTATGTACTATTCTTATGTACAAAGAAATTACACATTTAACTAAGTTGTCTGATAAAATTACGCCGCTACAACTGGTATACTTCTTATTCTTCTTTTTCTATTAGTGGTTACACTTATTTATGCAAACTCACGTGGTGACGTTATAATACGTAGTGACATGATACTAATAGGGTTATTTGAAGAGAAGTATGTTTATCTTGAACTTGTATTTGACTAGAGTGCACTAACATCCATGAAAAGCAAATTAAGATACTCCTAAATAAATGTATAAAAACTTATTTATCAAATACTCGTACCGATTTTGTAACTACATAAAAATAGTAGTGCACGGCCGTGCATATATTTTGACGTGATGTCATTTAAGTTATACCATCATAGTGTAAAGACGCGCTCATTGTTTGAGTTACACTGAAAAATTATTCTTTTGCACTTAAAACAGTCTTCATTTTGGTTTTGTGATAAATAGATAGATGTTCGTGAAGTTGGCAGCCTAGCAGCCTGAAGTTGACAGCCAAACAGCCTGAAGTTGGCAGCCTAGCAGCCTAAAGATAAATAGAATATTATATTCGTGTAGGTTTATTGCTCGCATAATATAATTTTATTCAACTAGTTCAATATATTCAGTATTAGTACCTACACTCATTTAATATTATAACGTAATTGGTATAACGTCAGCAACGTCATTCCAGATCATACTCGCGCGTGACACTGATTTTTTTTCTTACTGTCGGGGTCGTAGTTGCGTGTGATACAAGAATTGAATCTAGAAAATACATGTACTAAGTCTTGTATTTAATAAAGCACGGTATAAAATGTTCACAAAAGGCCAATTGGTGAACATAATGAGGTGAAAAAAATCAAATGAGTGGATAGAAAATAAAATGTGTAGTTTTACATACTTTTTGACCTCTTGCTTAAATAACAAACCCTCTGACATCTTTACTTTTCACAATACGAGTATAACACAATCATGAACACGTATCGGTTTTACCTGACCTTACTTTTTATTCTCGTTTTACTTAAATGTTCAATACTCCTGGAGGTGGTGAGATTTTTTTTATAATTTTGGAAGTTTTATTTTAGGATTTTTGTCTAAAATGGTGTTTTTCCATTGTACATATGGCGCAATTTAAGCTACAGGTTAGGCAACAAAAATGTTTTGCCCAGTCAGTGTCTTTTGATATACCCGTATTACAAAGTATTCATTGATACAGAAATGAAAATCAACAACAACAACAACAAACCGGGTATATGCAAAATGAATGCATTTCAAAATGTAAAATGATACTAAAACATCATAAACTAGTAATTTTCTTAGTCTTTTTAAAGACAAAAAATACAAACATTTTTTATATATCAGTATATACTGTAAGCAAAATGTCGAACTTAGGAAGTCCGCTACACTTTTCATATAGACATAACATAAACAGAATGAAAACATTGCATATGATTCATTTGAACTTTTTGCATGGTAACAGAAACATTTTAACTTAATTAAGCAGAAAGTGAGGAGGTGGAATAGACTACCACACTTCTGAGTTATCTGCCCTTGAATTGAATTTTTTGCTTATCCGTCGTAATTGCAAGGGTTGATAACTAACAGTTTAGCATAATTTGTCTGTTTTTATGAAGCCGACTTCCTTTTCAGTCATTATGCAAATTTAAAAATTGGGTATAATGCACATTGATTCTTTGAATCTACTTTGAAAACTGGAAAGGATCAATACTGTTTTATGGAACTCCATGAAATTTTGTATCGTGACCAAGAATGAAATGAAAAACATAGCCAAAGTAAGAATAAGATTTTTTAGGCTTAAGTTTTTGTAATATGTCCTTGAATTTATCTAAAATGATAAATAAACCAAATTCGAAGGCAGATAATTCTGAAACGAGATCTTCAATGCCCCACAGTTTTTGTTTTACATGTTTTTATTTGATCTTATTATTTATTGATTGATTTATCACAGAAGTTAGGCGCGTTGATTGGTCACTACTAAATATATATGTATCGTTTGCTTTTGTTTTTTTTTTTTTTTTTTTGGTGAAATGACGGAAATTGAATTAATAATAAAAACATATTTCAAATGGAAAAATACTGCAGTTAACATGGTTTTGGAGGGAGGAGGGTTGTAGAGTGGATCATGGGTGGGGGAGGTAGTGACCAATCAACGATCGAACACCTGTGTTTTTCACAGTATATAAACGATTTGAACCCCAACCGGATCTTGTGAGAAGATCTCAGCATCTAAACGTACAATCAGGCGCAATGACACATTAAACTATTAAAAATCGGCTTGAATTTAATATGTTACGGTATGTTAACATTTGAATCATATTAAGAAATAATTCATCTTTGCTTAAATATACACCCATAACCTTCTTCGTAAAATATATGCGCATAAAACGCTGTGCTCTTCGCCTCATGTTGTGTTTATGTCAACACACGCCGATTACACAAGCAAATGTATGCCTAAAATTATTTTACTTCACTATAACTCATATCTGAATCTTTGATTTATTGTCTTAACCTCATGTTACCAGACAGACACTTTTGAAAATATCTTTGAATATTGATAAAACATAGTTTATAATAGAGGCGACATTTCTGATAACTGTACCCGTCTTGCTAAAACAATTTTAATGATCTGTACCCTACTTGTGTTTTCACTGAACCATTACTTGCGAGTCACTTTTGATGATTTTTATTGTGTTTTTGTCGTATGTTCCAAATTTTATTGTGCAGAATATGAAGTTATTGTGTCACAAGAGAAGGGTACATGTTTTACATGTAAGTAACTAAAACTGCATATGAATGGAGGAGCTTCGTCATGTTTTCACTGTCTACGAAAGTGGCTGTCTATACGAATCAGAAAGTAAATTATTTCTTGATAAGAATAATAAACCAACAAACCTCATCTTCACTTACCATTCATTTTTCTTTGGAAAGATATAAAGCTAAAATATTGCATATGTACTATAAATTTTTTATATTTAATTCAACGGCATTGTTGTCATATATAGTTTTGACGTGACCGTTATATAACGTCACGTATCAATAAACCTCGAAATATCATTACAAGATTTTTTTTGCAGATTACGTATTTCAACATGTTGAAAGCTTTACACCTACCGTTGATTTCATTCTGCTTTTTAAACACCGTTTTTTATTCTCAGAAATTCATTGACTTTCTATTTCTGAAATGTAGACTACGTCAGTGTTTCAGCAATTGGTGTTATAAACTTCTTTTCTTCGTTTACGTTATTGGCTGTAACGCTGATTTTTTTTAAGTTGGAAAATTTATTCTGATCATTATTTACTCTTATTTTCAAGTCGCAGTCTGAATGGCGAATAATTATGTGGTCAATGATTGCATTGAATTTCGTAGTCTTTACTGAACAGTATATGCAGTTGTATTCTTCCATGGTGATCCGAAAGAAAAATATACATAGCATTATATATTTTATTAAACAAATGATTAACAATATTATCAGTTAAACCAATTCTCGGTAAATACCTTAGATACCACCTTATATACTAAAATTCTATTACAATCATTTATATTTTCTGGCAATAATTGATACAAAATCGCAATGAACTCCAATAAATCTTTAAAAATACTCACAAGTCAGGGTACAGATAAATTTCGTAAACTCACAAGTAGGGTTCACAATCACCAGCAAGTAACGTTCAGTTTACGGAATTGACCTCCTTGGTAAAACTCTTAAATTTATGTTCAAGATACAGCAATATGTTATGCATATGGCTAAATTATCGTTTGTTATTGATTACTTTAGTAGTTCGATATCACAATTCAATGTTTAACTAAATCATCATTGGAATAAGACGGATTTTTGTTCGTGTTCAGTGTTGATCACCTGAAAGCTGTTCGTGAGTTTCGATTATTTTATAGCCTTCGTGCTAACGTTTATGTTTTGCATAACTTAAACGTTTAATTAAGTTTCTCTCTTACGATATAAATATAGATTTACTAACCTAACGTCCATCTGTATCAATATAAATACCAATATCGTAAACAAGTGTAGTGGCAGAATATGGCTGACACTAAAATCTTCTCACAAGATCCGGTTGGGGTTCAAATCGTTTATATACTGTGTTTTTACTAAAATTGTTTTGCTACCATATTTTTAGATTATTATGCTAAGATTGAATAAATCTCTGTTTGTCTATATGAAACCAGAAAGTGGATTCAGTTTCAGTTCTTTTATTTTTAATCAAAACATCCAGCAGTTATTCATACATTGTACAAAGCGCTAGAAAATTTTCATTTGTATCTTTCAAAATAGGTCACATTTATTTTCTGTTTGCCACAGACCTGTACAACTCGTTCAGGTAATTTATACATGTTATACATAATTATAACCTACATACAAAAAATGTGTGATTGTTTATACATTTTAGTTTATAGTCTATTGTTATACGCCGCGTGTGTATTCTTGTGACTGAAGTATTATTTTTATATGTGAAAAATGCAGAAAACACAAACTAGAATTAGAAAAAAGTGATTATTTACCAAGATAAGATATCCGCATGTAGGTGCACACAACAGAGAAATTATCCATACAGAGTCGTCGTTCGTGGCTTACAAACGCAACACGCAACAGAAAACATATATTTTACGTATACTACAAATATTAATTTTATTCAAATCCGCAGTATTATAATTGCAGTTTCCAATAGTTTCCTATGTTTTCACTTCCATAGCTAGCTAGGCTACACTAAGTATGAAATTAATTATAGCTCACTGATAAAACTTTTCATTAAGCTAAAAAAAATTATAATGTCATATATATGCATACATCGCCTATTATTTTTCTATCCGAGGACTGACGAAAAGGGCCCGAAAAGTTGTTGCCCGGTCGTACAATTCTGCTTCTACGCGAAAACGGCACTGGTACTTTATAAAGAACTTCTAAGATTCACTGTAATTATGAAAAATATAAAAATAAGTATAAACAGGAGGCTTCAATTATTTACTTTGCATAGTTTGATTTAGAAATGTCTTGAAAATCGCCCCAACCTATTGCAAGTTTTTTGTTTGTATGTTTTTTTTTCTTGGGTAGGTCTCGCCACGTGGTCAAATTAAAGAAAGCATTCACTCCTTGTTGTTGTTTTTTTAGGAGAGAAGAGACACATTATATAATTATTGTGTTTATACACCGACAGTACAATTGTATGGTAATTCATTTGACATGGTAAACGCTATATAATAAAAAAAGAGATATTGAGGGATGAAAGGATGGTGGAGTGGGGGCGCCGTGAGGTTTGTATGGCACTTGATGTATACCACACGATTATACAAGGAACCAACAGTATGGTGCACCCGTTAGAGGGCCTGGCGGAGGCAGACAAAGGGTGACGACAGCATACGGTGCGTGGAAAGTTGAGCATGGGTAATCTGCGATCATGAAGATTTTGTGTAAGAATTCCATTGACTCGTCGTCACCGCAAGGTCCGTGAGAGCATAGGACGAGACATCCGTGGAGACATGTTCTCTTTACTTACGAATCTTGGTTTTGCCTTGACTTCAATGAGTCTGAAGATGATCTGGGGAAAGGTTTCAAGCCGAAAATTTTGCTGAACTCGACCGCTACGGGGATGGGTCAATTATGGTGTGAGGAGGCATCAGATTGAACGGACGGACGGACTGGCCTCGTTGTGCTAAATAGATCTATAGGAACCTTAACTGGTCAGTGGTACATCGATAAGATGCTAGATACTCAGGTTAGGCTTTATGCCTGGTCAGAGGGCGATTAGTTCATTTAAATGGACGATAATTTATGCGGAACACCACAACATAATTTTAAGTATTTGTTTGGATCATACTAGTAGTAAGCTGGGGGCATAATTTCAACTGAACAAAATGGCCGGACTTGTTGTCAGTACAGCCTTACATGGCAGCTTATTTGCCAGACTACAGCCTAACAGTACAAGTGATTGGACTTGACCAACTGAACAAAATGGCCAGACTACAGCCTTACAGCACAAGTGATTGGACCTGACCAATCGAACAAAATGGCCAGACTACAGCCTTACAGCACAATTGATTGGACTTGACCAACTGAACAAAAGAGCCAGACTACAGCCTTACAGTACAAGTGATTGGACCTGACCAACTGAACAAAATGGCCAGACTACAGTCTTACAGTACAAGTGATTGGACCTGACCAACTGAACAAAATGACCAGACTACGTCTTACAGCACAAGTGATTGGACTTGACCAACTGAACAAAATGGCCAGACTACAGCCTTACAGTACACAATTGATTGGACCTGACCAACTGAACAAAATGGCCAGACTACAGCCTTACAGCACAAGTGATTGGACCTGACCAACTGAACAAAATGGCCAGACTACAGCCTTACAGTACAAGTGATTGGACTTGACCAACTGAACAAAATGGCCAGACTACAGCCTTACAGTACAAGTGATTGGACCTGACCAACTGAACAAAATGGCCAGACTACAGCCTTACAGTAGCACAATTGATTGGACCTGACCAACTGAACAAAATGGCCAGACTACAGCCTTACAGTACAATTGATTGGACCTGACCAACTGAACAAAATGGCCAGACTACAGCCTTACAGCACAAGTGATTGGACCTGACCAACTGAACAAAATGGCCAGACTACAGCCTTACAGTACAAGTGATTGGACTGACCAACTGAACAAAATGGCCAGACTACAGCCTTACAGCACAATTGATTGGACTTGACCAACTGAACAAAATGGCCAGACTACAGCCTTACAGTACAAGTGATTGGACCTGACCAACTGAACAAAATGGCCAGACTACAGCCTTACAGTACAAGTGATTGACCTGACCAACTGAACAAAATGGCCAGACTACAGCCTTATAGCACAATTGATTGGACTTGACCAACTGAACAAAAGAGCCAGACTACAGCCTTATACAGCACAAGTGATTGGACCTGACCAACTGAACAAAATGGCCAGTTTACAGCCTAACAGCACAAGTGATTGGACTTGACCAACTGAACAAAATGGCCAGACTACAGCCTAACAGTAGCAAGTGATTGGACCTGACCAACTGAACAAAATGGCCAGACTACAGCCTTAACAGCACAAGTGATTGGACCTGACCAACTGAACAAAAGAGCCAGACTACAGCCTTACAGCACAATTGATTGGACCTGACCAACTGAACAAAAAGGCCAGACTACAGCCTTACAGCACAATTGATTGGACCTGACCAACTTGCCAGACTACAGCCTACAGCACAAGTGATTGGACTTGAACTGAACAAAAGAGCCAGACTACAGCCTTACAGTACAAGTGATTGGACTTGACCAACAGCCTTGAACAAAATGGCCAGACTACAGCCTTACAGCACAAGTGATTGGACTTGACCAACTGAACAAAATGGCCAGACTACAGCCTTACAGCACAAGTGATTGGACTTGACCAACTGAACAAAATGGCCAGACTACAGCCTTACAGCACAAGTGATTGGACCTGACCAACTGAACAAAAGGGCCAGACTACAGCCTTACAGCACAAGTGATTGGACTTGACCAACTGAACAAAATGGCCAGACTACAGCCTTACAGCACAAGTGATTGGACCTGACCAACTGAACAAAAGGCCAGACTACAGCCTTACAGCACAATTGATTGGACCTGACCAACTGAACAAAATGGCCAGACTACAGCCTTACAGTACAAGTGATTGGACCTGACCAACTGAACAAAATGGCCAGACTACAGCCTTACAGTACAATTGATTGGACTTGACCAACTGAACAAAATGGCCAGACTACAGCCTTACAGCACAAGTGATTGGACCTGACCAACTGAACAAAAGAGCCAGACCACAGCCTAACAGTACAATTGATTGGACCTGACCAACTGAACAAAATGGCCAGACTACAATCTTACAGCACAAGTGATTGGACCTGACCAACTGAACAAAAGAGCCAGACTACAGCCTTACAGTACAATTGATTGGACTTGACCAACTGAACAAAATGGCCAGACTACAGCCTTACAGTACAAGTGATTGGACTTGACCAACTGAACAAAATGGCCAGACTACGTCTTACAGCACAAGTGATTGGACTTGACCAACTGAACAAAAGAGCCAGACTACAGCCTTACAGTACAATTGATTGGACCTGACCAACTGAACAAAATGGCCAGACTACAATCTTACAGCACAAGTGATTGGACCTGACCAACTGAACAAAATGACCAGACTACGTCTTACAGCACAAGTGATTGGACTTGACCAACTGAACAAAAGGGCCAGACTACGGACTTGCCGAGGAAGTAGAATATAAATCAAATATTTGACCCGAATGCATGACGAGTTGGATGTCACTTAATCAACATTTTTGCATAGTTACTGGTTTCCTAGCAGCTTCCGGCCAGAAATCGCACTTTTTAACAAATAAAATAAAAATCAGTCTACGGAGGGGTACAAAACTTTGACAGGACAAAGTTAGGTACCTGTCCAGCATTGCCATGTGTTTAATGTTGCACTTTCATTTTACTTTTTAATTTGAATATATGCCTGTAATGTAACACCTTTTTTCACCTTTATTCAAAAATTCATAGCAGTTTTCCGGACCTTTTTTATTTTGAATATAATTCAGTACCCTAAAGCACTGTTAAGATGGTTTTATCAGACAAACAGAACTTCCCAACCTGCTTTTCCATGTTGTCTGCAAAAATATTTTCTGAAGAACTGATTTTCCTAAAATGGGGTCTTAGTTAGTGTGCATGGATATTCAAACTAGAATTCCCCAGGTACGTGTTGCTTTTTTTTTGAAAGTCGCAAGTTCTCTTATGTTATGTAACTTTAGATAACAGGCAAAACTTCAAAACATGTAAATCGTTGTACCATTTTAAATGCTGTTTAGCATAGAAAACAAATGTCTCTGTGATTGATGAAGTAATGTGGATGCCTTACTGGTAAAAATAGACTGTACTGGACGAAAATGATAAACGGCCGGAAAACTGCTAAGGGACGGAATCTGCTAGGAAACCAGTAAACATTATTAAAGCGCACGCGTGTACATAAAGTTTTGTTTTTATGTCAAAGAAATACATATATTTAGTGTATACCAATTTTTTTAGTTCGATTACTGTCGAATACGTTTATGGAACCAAGCAGTACTAAGGAATGAGTGTAAAGTTTCTTGCTCACGGAAACAACGTTTGAACCCGAGGTGACAGCTAGAAATCCTTCAGTAGATTACTATAGTCCGACGCGTTAACCACGCAGCCACGCCGCCACATAAATATTTGACAATAAGTCATAATAAAATAATCTCCCGTACTGTACATTAATCATAAAGAACACTTTAAATTAACTATTCAAGCACTTTCGATAAAACTTATGAAGGATAGCCGAAGAATTACGATTGATTTCCTATCCAGCGCCTATTTAATTAATATATTATATAATATATATAAATATTCAGAGAGTTTAAATGTATTTATATCTTTCTGATATGATAATTTGCAGGTCAAATGTACGTATTAATATAGTACACCAGAATACACCATATGGCCGTATTGTAAACGAATCACACACGTGACTGTCATGTGACATCTCATGTGACAGGTACAGTGTAACTCGTGATTTCAAAGCTTTTTATATGACGATTTGAACAATATCTTATCACTTTGTGTTGTGATCTCACTCAGTTCAGTAAGTTTTATTCATGTTTTATTTAACCCTTTCCTATATTTTCCACTCTGGCACTCTTTTTTAAACTTTTTTGTCTGTGTGTTTGAAAGAATTCATACTACATGTAGACCCGGAACTATATAATTTTCTTTCTTTTTCTGGTGCACCAATTAAAATAATCATGTTAAGAGTATTGAGAAGATTATCTGATTTAAAATCACAGCATAAAATCTGAAAGTTTCGTTGGGAAAAATATTGCCGTAATCTAATTAGTTTTGTTACTGTTGTGTCAAAATATTTTGACGTGTCAAAACTAAATTTTTATTGGCAATCTGAGCCATATATTGGCCAGTAATTAGTAAAATAGCACAATATCCCAACACAAAGTGAAATAATTTGGACTAGCCAATTTGATGTGCTTAATATCCACTTTACAGTACCATAGAAATGTGTATCAATATCAGATTCAATCTGAGATACATGTACTTTAGTTTTGGAAGGAGATACTGACTGACAACACATAATGCCTTGAGTATAATTTGTTTAACTATAATATGAATAAACAAAAAAATGTTATACTAAATTAGCAACATACAACAGGTTTTAATTCTTAAAAGACCCTACACATAGTGAGAAAAATACATGTACAAAGAATGACAAATTTATATATATCTATAGATGCATGGTTTCACTTCCTATTGTTACATTAATAATTAGACCTGTATTTTATTTCCTTATACTTTTACATGTATGTACTGTATAGATATTTTTTTTCTATCTTCTTCAAAATTTACCCAAAGAAACTTGTTAGTCATTGACTTTATATAGTGAAGTTACTAAATTTCCTTAATTCAATTGTTGTCCATCATTTTTCAACCAATAATGTACTATCAAAGTCACATATGTATGAATCAGAGTTGTAAAGTCACATGCAACAAGATTTCAATTGCTAAATTACTAGAGGTCAAAAGTAAATGATAAATATCTGGTTGAAAAGTTACTGTAATGTAAAATATCTTACATTATTTAAAAGTGTCATTACAATGATTACATTATATTAGTACTATTAAAGGGAATTTTAAGAATTTGCAGTTAACCACTTAAAAATTATTTCTTGCATTTTGTTTCATTATATAGAAATTTTCAGTTTATAACTTTGAATGATTTTTTTCTCAATTTGACAAATAATACAATGTACAAGGACAATTTGTTAGAACAGAATTCTGAAAGTTAAGTTTTATCAGAAGAAAAGTGGATATAATGTGACTGACATTGTATAAATGTAAAATTAAACATTAAATCCTATTTCTACATTATTATTGCAGGCATGAAGGGTCTAGTGGTACTGTTGTTGGTTGGTGCAGCTTGTGGCTACAGGTTTGACTTCCATGATGATTACTTCAGCGAGGCATTCGTGAACTATCACAACAGTCGTGATGATGTCTCATGGAAGGTACAGGAATTAGATATACTTGGCTTACCATTAGCTCGTTAGAACAAAAAGTCATTAAACTTTGCCGCCAGTATAAAGGCAGACAGGCCTGCATGTGCACCTGTGCAGTCTAACTAGGCTCTTTGCTATTGGCTGACTTACTTAATTTGTTATCTTCATATCCTCTAAAATTGATTAATAAATAAAGAAAATAGAAGCTGTCAGACAAACCCATTGCAAAAATTCAGCAGGTGTACATTGAATGAATCCAGATTTTGGAAATATAGAACACAAACAAGACAATGTACATGTGTATAAATTTGTTAAGTAATAGCAAAACTATCGAGATAACCTTTGAGTTTATCTATTGTAAAAACTTGATTAAATAGAACAATGTTAATGTTTACATTAAGTTATAGATAAAACTACAAGTGTATACTAAATTATATAATTAATGACAGCTTTACATATACTTAAACAAAATATGTAGATAAGTATCATATGATATTGATAATTGTACTTGTATTATGTTAAAATTTAATTTTATATCCAGTTAATAAAGAACACTATAATCTTGGGTGTCCATTATCTGGGCCATATGTTTATAAGATCTGCCTATGCCTGAGTTACATGTATAAACCTATTGTTCAACAGTGTACCTATATACATGTATTACCCTTTAATGCAATGCTGAAAAATTATTGTTTCATAAACATTTGTACTTTTAATCAAAAACATTGTTTGGTAATCTTAGGCAACCACAGATAACTTCAAGAATGTACCATACAAGGGTAGGATGGACTACATCAAGAGCTTGTGCGGTGCTAAACCAACCCCACCTCACATGAAACTACCTGCATTGGACATCACAGTCCCTAAAGATCTTCCTGACACTTTTGATGCCAGAACTCAGTGGCCAAACTGCCCTTCATTGAAGGAAGTCCGTGACCAGGGAGCTTGTGGATCATGCTGGGTAAATTCCTTAAACTGTTTGTGTGTCACTGTACGGTTTTCCAAACTGTTGTGTTATGTACAGTGTAATTTTCCAAGCTTAGTATACATAACAGATTTACATATTTGAACTACACAGTATAGATTTCCACACTGTAACTACACAGTACAGATTTCAACACTGTAACTACTACACAGAACATAGTTTTTTAATTTTTTTTTTTCATATTTACAAATATGTTCTGTCTTTATTTATATTTTTTATTTATATATTATTATTTTTTTTATTATGCCCCCATTTCGAAGAAAAGGGGGTATATTGCTTTGCACTTGTCGGTCCGTCGGTCCGTCGGTCTGTCGGTCCGTCGGTCCGTCGGTCCGTAGACCAAATGGTTTCCGAGTGATAACTAAAGAACCCTTAGGCCTAGGAACTTCAAACTTGGTATGGTGATTGGTCATGTCCAGTAGATGACCCCTATTGATTTTGGGGTCAAGGGGTCAAAGGTCAAGCGTCACATTGACCTTGTAGGCAAAAAACGGTTTTCCGATCAATAACTAAAGAACCTTAAGGCCTAGGAACTTCAAACTTGGTATGGTGATTGTTCATGATCAGTAGATGACCCCTATTGATTTTGGATTGGTTATGACCAGCAGATGACCCCTATTGATTTGGGGTTAAGGGGTGGTTCAAATCAGTAGATGACCCCCTATTGATTTTGGGGGGTCAAAGGTCAAGGTCACATTGACCTTGTAAGGAAAAACAGTTTCCGATCATGACCAGCAATGACCCCTAATAACTAAAGAGGTAAAAATGCTTTCAATCAATAACTTAAGACCTTTAGATCTAGGAACTTCAAACTGGTATGGTGATTGGTTCATGACCAGCAGATGACCTTTTGATTTTGGGCAAGGGGTCAAAGGTCAAGGTCACATTGACGCTTGTAAAAGGTAAAAACGGTTTCCGATCAATTAACTAAAAAACTTAGGCCTAGGTAACTTCAAACTTGTATGATGCATTAAGTCCGTGACAGCAGATGACCCCTATGAGTTTGGGTCAAGGGGTAAAAAAGTTAAAAGGTCATGAACCAAGTAGAATACTCGCGTGATAATCCTTTTTAAATTGTTTGATCATCTGGGGTCAGAAGTCATGCATAATAACCTTATCACATGAACTAATTGCCTGCTTGAAGGGGGCATACATTTTTACAAACATATCTTTGGGGATTTTTTGGAGTGGAGGGGGGCGGGGGGGGGTCATGGCAACTCCTAATGTAAATTTTGTATTTTTCTACAGCTTTTGTCAATTTGGAAAAGTGCTTTATTTAGACACTAAAAATACAAAAAAAACACACCCAAAAACACTTTGCTTCTTTTGCCTGTTTAAAATTTTAAGGAATTGTAATTCCTTCTCACTGGAAATCTTTAAAAGAAGACAACAAACAGTCTTGTAACCCCTACAAAGCTGCCCTCTGTAGAATAACAACCTCTTTACAATAATGTTATTTTTTTTCCCCAAAGTAAGACTTCACAATGAATTTATCCTCTTTAAAACAATACCTCTCATCATCAACCATGATGTTTATCTCCCAGTTAGTGTTGCTCATTTAGAAGTATTGTAATCTATTGAGACATTTTAATGATTTACTCACAGGCTTTCGGTTGTGTAGAGGCTGCCACAGATAGGTTGTGTACCCAGACAAGGGAAAGGGTTTTGAAGGGCCCGCCCCTTGGCAGTTTTAAAAGATCTCACCTTTTGTTGCAAAACATGGGAAATGGGTAAGTCTCCATTTTTATTTAAAATATTGTAATTTTTTTCACTTTTTTTAAATTTTAAGAATTTAAAAAGGGCCCTATATCCCTGGAAAAAAAACAAAAATTTCTTTTTAAGAAATAAAAAAAAAAATTGGGGTTTATTATTTTTGTAAATAATTTTTTTAAAAGATGTTACCCTGAAAAAATTAGTGCTGAAAGTTAAATAATTTGTTATTAAGGTAGTGAAATTTTATCAAAGTAGTATTTTGACTACCATACAAAATACTAAAATACTAAATCACTTGAACTATACTAATTGTCAAAGCATCTTAATAAAAAAGTGAGCAGTCTTTTTGAAACTGTTTAAGGACACCATAAAGAAACAGCTTTTAAAAAATTGAACTTACAGCATTTTTCAGGCTGAATGGGATCATATTTTAAGAATTTCTTTATGATATTACAAAAAAAAAAACAACAAAAACGATGTTTAAACAACAACAACACATGCAGTTTTTCAAAATATTATTATTTTTTCAATGTTATTACATGATTGTTTTGTTATGTATTACTAGATGTAATGGTGGTTTCCTGGAAGGTGCCTGGGATTATCTTAAACGTGATGGTATTGTCACAGGAGGTCCTTACAACAGTCATCAGGTCAGTGTATTGTATTATAAATGTCACAAGAATATCTCAGTATTAAAAACTAATAATTATATAACAATATTTGGTATTAAGGATTACAGAACCATATACTTGCAGACCTGTATACATGCTCTTACATGCAGATGCCATGTTGGTATTTTCATTATGTACTGGCAATACAGTGGAAAAGACCTCTCCATATTTTTTTTATCTATTTATTTATTTTTTTTTTTTGGTTTGGGTTTTACATGTTACAAATATTCCTAAACACTGCAAAATCAGTCCTCTATGGCATGTAACATATAAATTATTGCTTGAATCTTCAATTATTTTACTTATTTTTAAATCTTAGTACAAAGAAATATATAATCTCATGTCTGAACAAGACGCTTGAAAATACATCCTAATTTAATCATTGATGGTTATGTTTACAGGGATGTTTGCCATATGAAATTAAAGCCTGTGATCATCATGTTGTTGGCAAACTAGACCCATGCAAGGGTGACGGTCCAACCCCAAGATGTTCCAAACGCTGTGAAGATGGCTACAATGTCACCTTTAAAGATGACAAACACCATGGTAACTGTCTTTGAATATCAGCGGTTATTATACTGTATGTCTGTAACATCACTTTTCATTGGATAATTGGGATGTTTATATAAACTATATACATAGCTGTTGAAGAAATTTCCTTTTTTCGGTCCAGTGAAAGACTTTTCCTTTATTAAGAAGATTCTTGACAGGTTATATGGCTGTATAATATTATATAAGTTGTTGTTTGTAATACATGTATATAAACTTTGTCTAGCAACTCGGGTTATATAGGGCAATCTAATCTTTCTAAAATCTTTAAAAAAACAAATAAAGCATTGTTTTTCAGATACCTAGGCCTGTGACAGTAGATTCTACCCACATGCAACAAGTGCAGACTAGGATCAGCTGGCACATTGCCAAATGATCATTTTCTGCATTGTTTGTTATTCTGTCAATACATATGTTGAAATTTTCTATAAAAATGATGAATGGTCATATCCAGATAAAACTGCATAGATTTGCAAATTTTGTCAGAAAATAAAAAAGAAATTAAATTTTTTTGCCCTTTCCCAAAGTGTTAAATCATGTATTTTATTTTTTTTAAAATTTTTTATCCTACAAAACAAAAAAAGGGGTCTCGGTCAGGTGTAAAAAGGGAAAAATTTTGACAGAAATCAGAAACCAAAAAACCAGTAAAAAGGCTGCCCTTTTCCCTGTACGCTGACTTCCCAACATACAAATCAGGTAACATTTCTAAAATACATTAACTGTTTTGGTTTTTTTTTTTAAATTCAAAAAAACATATGAGCCGGGGCAGGGCAAAACCACATAGGGTTTTCACCCTTCCGCCCGTCCTGATTTCAGGAAACCATTTCTGTTCCTTACCAACTCTTAAATTCCCAAATAGATTTAACTGGGTAAACAAACAGATGGATCCTGATCAGACTGTGCGGGGTGCGCAGGCTGGGTTTGGGTCCAGCTGGTGGGAAAACCCCCTATTGTTTTTTTGAAAACGTTCATATAAGAAAAAGGGGATAAATGTTTTGTCCTTTTTCCTCTACCTTGTCATTAAGAAAGTGAGGGATGATAGATTTTTCAAGAATTAAGGGCCTTAGCAATACTGTATAAAGTAAGGTTTAATTAGGTAGACGGCGGGAAAATATTGGTCGAATTTTTTTGCTAATTGGACTGAAAAAATAGCTAAAATTTCCTTTAGCATAAATATCAACCAACCTGTTTTTAAATTCTACCCTTGCACAATTTGCTTATAATTCCTCATGCGAAATGTCTGGAATTTTAAATTCGCTAACTTTTTCGACATATCCACTTATACAGTATCTGGTCATATTTTACATGGCAATGAATTGAAATGGTTTTACCAATGCACCAGCCTGTTGTGATCCCTTGCCTCCCCCACCTCCATCCAGGGAACAATTATTGACTTTGGGACAAAAAAGTGGTTTAGCCCTTCCCTGATGGAACTGAATGATTTGACTAAGTCACCAGTACAGAGTCCTGCATGTTTTGTTATTGGGAGTTATAATCAAGCAGTCTTCACAAAATAGTGATATAACACAAACATGTATACTATATAAGATGTAAATTTATTCTCCTGTTATCCCTAACATGGAGATGCTGGCTAGACATGTTACTGAGCAAGCACAATATGAGCAGCATCATGACAAAACCAACATAATGGGTTTGCGACCAGCATGGATCCAGACCAGCCTACGCATCCGCGCAGTCTGACCAGGATTCATGCTGTTCGCTATCAGTATCTCTACTTGTAAAAGAGTTGGTAAGCGAACAGCGTGGATCCTGATCAGACTGCGAGGATGCGCAGGCATTACGTTGGTTTTGTCGTGACGCGGCTCATATGTATATATTTATAAACTAGCTAATAGCTGATATTACTACACTGCATACCCATCTGTACAGTCAGTGCAGCCTCTATGATGTTGATAGCTCAATTATTGTGTATTTAAATATTAAAATCCCTTAACATGAATGGGCGGCTCTTGTTTCAAATTAGGGCAAAATCTATTACACGAATTCAGTAGTTTTAGGATTAAGCTATTTCCCCTTATATTTTTAACTTCCATTACATTGACCAGATTACATGGCAGGTTGTATGGGGAGAGCTGAAAGTCATAGCACAATACCCCTGCTAATCCCACACCCCTTAAGAGGGGTTTGGGACTAGGAGAGCTACAAATAATGATGCATTAAGTGCTTTTTTATGCCAATTAGGCTTGTTGAAATACTGAAAAATGGAGGTAAAATCATTTAAGATTGGTGAACTGAATACAGATATGGTTAAAGTAGAAATACATTCAGCATTGTCATTTCCCTGCCCTTTGAAAACAAAAAAATCTAATGCAAAATAACATCATGGTTTTATTACAGGTGTATATGAACACAAGTCCGGTGGACCACTCGGGGGTCATGCCATCAAACTTCTCGGCTGGGGTAATGAAGACGGTAAAGAATATTGGCTTGTTGCCAACTCCTGGAACCCAGACTGGGGAGATAGCGGTTTCTTCAAGATCCTCCGAGGACAAGACGAGTGTGGCATTGAATCCAACATTGTCGCTGGAATGATGGAGCTCAAATAAAATGTGATAAAATTAAACAATCGAACATTCCAGAAAATTGTATATTTTTTTAAAAGAAAAAGCATTGTATATTTTTGTATTAAGAAAGACTACACAAACATCTGGTTTTCCATGAAATGAGGATGATTGAAAAATTGAAACTGTTTAAAGATATTAAAAAATATGAACGTTTGATTATTTAGCATTGATTTTCAGTTATATTATAATTCTGTAAATATTTAAGCTATTTTTTATACATTTATATATTGGTTTACAATTGTTGACAAGTTGTCATGGATATTTAGCTTGCTAGTTTCCACCAAAATCATCGAACCATGACATTAATTTTTTTCCTTACATTGTATTTAAACATTGCCTTATATTTGTACCACTATAACCAAACAATATTTTATAGTTTCTTTAACAAACTATAAAACTGAGAAGCATTTCTGTGAGATTTTTGTAAATAGTTCACCCAACAATAATTACAAGTCAATTAGCACAAGATTTTTTTTATTCTCAAATTTTTCTGGTAATTTTTTTCTTCTTCTTTTCCATAAATTATATCTTTTAAATTCTATCTGGATATAACTTTAATATTACAATTTTTGTTAATTGGTTTACTTTTCTGATATTATTTTTCTTTGTCTCAAATTTAAGTCTTTGCCTTTTGTGTCATGCAAATCAGGTATTGAAAATAAATAAATCTAATTTTATACTACACAGAAGTGTTGTCTGTTTATTTAGATATCAAAATGATAGAATAGAAGTGTATTTTTAAATTTGCAAATACTGTAAATGCTTTGCATGCAATTTTATCAATATGCCCAGCTTTCGTAATCATAGATGCCAAATCTAGAAACTGTGAGATAACTGTACCCATATGTATGACTGACTAATGTGGTACATAGAAAATTTAGCCAAAGGACATCATGGACCAGGTTAAAATATCCCAGGATAAATTAATCAACCAAAAATATTTTGGCAGATGTATTTGATGGGTAATTTAGACAAAAAATATTTTAAGTATTGTGTGTTTACGGTCAATGACTTCAAACCACTAGCTTGCCCCTTACCACTGTTGGTTCAAATCCTGTCAGGGACATTGAATTTCTTTTATATGGCAGCTTCTAGAAGATTAGTGGTTCTACTGAGGTACCTGTGTCTGAACTAATGCACACAGGGACATATGAAGTCATCCTCTCCCAGTAAAGCTGTTAATATTTTACATGGCAATGAGTTGCCATTATTATGACCTCTACTGTGTTGGTGTGCCATAAAACCCAAACAAGAAAAACAAAGCAAGGTTCTGCCAGTTAACTACAACAGTTTAAGAATTAAATACAAGGTAAAATAACATAGAAGTATAATCTAATTTTAGGTTTTGTACTACTAACAAGGCATTATTGGTATGACTCCAATATTTGGACAAAAAAAGTTTTAATCAAATGTTATTATCTATACTGTGAATGGGAATCAGAACAGATGGTGTATTATCTATAGCACGATTACACCACGGCTGTCCTAAGATTGTGGAGAGAAAGACTTCCCAGAGAGATTGATGTTTTTTATAGTAACCCAATGGCCAGGTTCACAAGCATTTCATTTTTTATCAAACTTATACTTTCTTTACTTCTACAATACATGTACAAATGTACAACCATGAATGGCCAGGTATTATAATTGCTGTAAAGTTTACAAGCGTACAACTTACATGAAACTTTAGTCTGTCTTTACATTTATACAGTGTATTTGTTCATTATGACTATGAAATTTAAACTCATTATTATTATCACTGACATAAGATAAGGCAGGAACGTATGTGCCCTATCTCACACATGTAGCTTGTAACCTACTTAATTATCTCTCAAATATTCAATGTCATTATTATTAGGTTATCAGTCACAGACGTACATGTATATGATAGAGAACAGACGCATGTATTCACATATAGAAATGATAATTATCATCCAAGTTCATTAATATAATGCAAATCTAGAGGCAAATACTTGAGCAGGGACATAAAAGATTAGATTATGTGTACAGGCATGCTCTCTACCCAAACCTAATTCTACAGATGGTGGTTAATCTAATTTAAAAAGGACTTTTATTTTTAGGCTTTTATATGGATAAAAATGATTCTACAAATTCATGCATTATAACCCACCTCTAATTATTGGCTTCTCAAGACTAAATTACCTTTATAGATGTGTAACACAACTGCCAATCCAAAATCAAATATTTATACATGTATAACAACTGACAAACCAAATTCACACCAGGTGAAATGTCCACTACTATGACGAATTGGTCTGTAGAAGAGTAAGGTTAAAGTTAAAAGATTTGACTTGAAGCTTTAAATACAACAAAAATGCTGTCGAGAAGCACAACTAGACAAAGTTTTTACCATTCCTGTAAAGTTTGGATAAAAGGGCACCAGTAACTTCTGACGAGAAGTCTCCGGATAAGCTGAATAACTGACAACAAACAAAAAAATCATTAAAGGGCCATTACTCGGCCAAAAAATATTCAAGGGGAAAACCTGTGTAATATGCCCAAGAACTTGAGCTAAAAAGCAATTCTGTAAAGTTTCATTACAATTGCATAAGTGATATAAGAAAAGTAGTCTAGACAAACTTTATAAAAACTCACGAAAGGACCATAACTCAGACAACGATCACATGTGTCGCCTCATGACTCAGCGAAAAATCATTCAACCTAAAAACTTATGTCACAGTGTTCACAAGAACTTGAGCTACCGATCAATCCTGTAAAGTTTTATTTTAATTGCATTTATAAGTGGTATAACAGGAGTAGTCAGAACAAATTTTAAAGTTAAAATCATTAAAGGACCAAAACTCTGACAAAAATAAATGGATCGAAAAATGTTGATGAGATGCACAACTAGACAAGGTATTGATCATTCCTTAAAGTTTCGGAGTAGTAGTCCAGACAAACTTCTGTGTAGCTGGCAACACAAAAAACAAGAGCTGTCGGTAGGACAGCAACGCTCGACTATTCTTAGTGCTTGATTGTAAAAAAAATGCTTGATACAGTTACCTCCTCCTGTTTACAGGTTGGGGTAATGATGGTGAACAAGTGTGCAAAGTTTCAAAGCCATATGTCAATGGACTTTGAAAATATTTGAACTATTACAAAAACTTTAATGTAAATTCTAAGTCGAAAAAGGGGCATAATTCTGTCAAAATGCTTGATACAGTTACCTCCTCCTGTTTACAGGTTGGGGTTATGATGGTGAACAAGTGTGCAAAGTTTAAAAGCCATATGTCAATGGACTTTGAAAATATTTGAACTATTACAAAAACTTTAACGTAAATTCTCAGTCGAAAAAGGGGCATAATTCTGTCAAAATGCTTGATAGAGTTACCTCCTCCTGTTTACAGGTTGGGGTTATGATGATGAACAAGTGTACAAAGTTTCAAAGCCATATGTCAATGGACTTTGAAATTATTTGAACTATTACAAAAACTTTAACGTAAATTCTAAGTCGAAAAAGGGGCATAATTCTGTCAAAATGCTTGATACAGTTACCTCCTCCTGTTTACAGGTTGGGGTAATGATGGTGAACAAGTGTGCAAAGTTTCAAAGCCATATGTCAATGGACTTTGAAAATATTTAAACTATTACAAAAACTTTAACATAAGTGGTTACGCCGACGCGGACGCGGACGCCGACGCTCGGGTGACTACAATAGCTCTACTTATTCTTATCGATTAGTCGAGCTAAAAATCCATTTTTAATTCAAGGGCAATAAATTTAGCCAAAATTCTTTCAAGCTGAAAACTTGTGTATTATGCACAAGAACTTGACCTACCAATCAATCCTGTAAAGTTCCAGTGAAATTGCTTAAGTGGTATAAGAGGAGTAGTCCGGACAAACTTTAATTTACACCCTTTTCATTCAAGGGCCATAACTAAGCCAAAAATCATTCAAGGGAAAAATCCATGTGCTATGCGGAAGAACTTGACCTACCAATCAACCATGTAAAGTTTTATTGAATTTGCATATATGTGATAAAAGAGGAGTAGTCCGAACGATCTTTAAAAATAAAAATAATTAAATTAAAGGGCCATAACTCCGACAAAATCATTTAACCATAAAAAGCCGATGACATGCACAACTAGACTTGATACTGATCATTCCTGTAAAGTTTGGATGAAATTGTACCAGTGTTCTTTTCTGAAATTGTCCGGACAAGCTTTTGTGTATCTGGCAACACACAATAAACACTTTTTTATTCAAGGGCCATAACCCCTTATGAGTAGTCCGGACACCTTTGAATTTAAAGGATTAAACAAACTAAATTCACGGCCAAAGATGGAAAAATCAAAAGTGAAAGCATACAAAACCAATCAATTTTGTAGAAAAGTGTGTTTGTGGAATTGCAAGGGAAAACAAAATAACAATCGCAGAATTTTACATAGTACAACATGCTGAATCTTTATTGTCTTACCAGACTTTGTTGAATCAAATATTTTGTCGAAAATAAAACAAATGCACACTACAGCACAGGACATTGTGGACATATATTCAGACCGTTTCAAAGGTGTGGGAAACTTAAACGACAAGGAAATTTAGCTTCATATAGATAAGGATGTAATTAAACTGTTGCTGAAACACACCGCCGGATTCTGTTCAAACCAATCTGGAAACCACCACCAATGGCAACACAACCGCAAGTTCAAACTTCGCTGCCAGAGCCTGTATCTCAACAACCACCGTAACCGCCAGATCACCACAAACTATACACCATAGACCAAAACGAACCATAAATAAACCTCTATGCCCTCGTTAATTTGGATTTTACTGTAACCGTAATTTTGTAGTACAGCATACCCAAGCACAGATATTGTGAACTTGTTCTATAAGTAATAATCAGTGATTTATTCTGTGTAATTTCATTCATAAAACAATGGAATTAGTTAACAAAGTAATAAGAACATAATTGAAATTAACTTTAAAGCAGACCAAATGGGAAATACCAATTTACTTATAATTGGACAACCAGAGACTTTAAAAACTTGCCGCAAAGTGATAATAAAACCTTACACAATAAGTTCTACACATCTTGATAGTGAC